TGCAGATTATGACTCAAAGATGATTTATTATTTGGTTCTTCTTTATTTTCAATAGAAGCAATTGCATTAAATTTAACAAGTTTCAAGGAATCAACAAAAATTGCAAAATTATCATCACTAGGAGATTTCATGGTATCATAAATATTAAAGTTCACAAATTTACCATTAGACTCCATTGTAAGCATGCCACTATGAATATCAATTTTCGTTTTTGCGGTTTTTAAAAATGGTCTTCCTAACAAAATATGAGAAATTTGATTATTATTTTCCATATCAAGGACATAAAAATCAGTAGGAAAAACCAAGTTATTAACTTTAACAAGCAAATCCTCAACCACACCCCTAGGATATGTAGTAGATCCATCAGCCAATTGAATTACTATACTAGATTTATTCAGGGGTCCAAGATTTAAAGAAGTATAAACAGAATATGGCATGACATTAATAGAAACTCCTAAATCTAACATAGCATTTTCAAATTTCACCCCACTTATCATGCATGGAATAGTAAACATACCGGGGTCTTTGCACTTTTCAGGAAGATTGCTCTGACTAGCCATAAAGATATTATCTTGCACTTTCACTTCCTCGATTCTTTCATCATTTCGTTTCTTTTTCATAGTGCGTACCTCTTTTAGAAAATTTGCATAGCGAGGTACTTTTTCCATAGAATCTAAAAATGGTTTATTAGCCTCACATTCACGAAAGGTCTCATACAGATCATTATTTGAGTTTCCTCTTATTGGTACTAAAAGAGCTTGAGGAAATGGGGGTACTGGTTCATAATCAGAAAAAGAGGAAAGCTTACCTTGGGACTTCTCTTTATTGTTGGCAATGATTCCTGCACTTATTTCCTTGTTTAAATCAACATTCTTTTCCAGCGACATACTTTCAACACTAATTGCACTTACATTCTCTTTTGGATTAACCACCGTTTGAGAGGGTAGTTTGGCGGAACTCTGTGCTTCCAACCGACTTACCGTAGTTGCTAGTTGACCCATCTGTCTTTCCAAATTTTGAATACTAGCCTTTGTTTCTTGTTGGAATATTTGTGTTTCTTGTTGAAACTGCAGAGTGTTAGTAGCAAGAGATTTAACAATATCTTCTAGATTCATACCTGAGCTAGAGCTTTGGACCGGCTGTTGTCTTGCAGGAAATGGTTGTCTATACTGCTGAAAATTGGAACGATTCTGAACAAACTGGTTCCCCTGTGAGATCCCATAGCTAAGGTTTGGGTGATCCCTCCATCCAGGATTATATGTATTGGAGAACGGATCATACTTACCTTGAGGTTGTCCAGGAAAACCTCCAGCCATGTTAACTTGTTCAATAGGTTCTTCTTGAAGAGTTGGGCAGGCATCAGTTTGATGCCCAACTACCGAGCAAATTCCACATGCTTTTACAGTTTGCATATTGCCTACTACTAATTGACGGACAAGAGTAGTTAAACCAGAAATTTGTTGTTCAAGAGCAGAAATATTTACCTCATTCACTTGCTTAGACGGTTGAGTTATTCTATTGCCAAACTGTTGAGAATTTGCAGCCATGTTTGCAATTAAATTTCTTGCAGCGTCTGGTGTTTTGTCAACTAAAGCACCACCGCTTGCAGCATCAATCATGCTTCTATCCATTGGAAAAAGTCCTTCATAAAAGTACTGAATGAGTAATTGCTCACTGATTTGATGGTGTGGGCAGCTTGCACAAAGCATTTTGAAACGCTCCCAATATTCATATAATGACTCTCCATTGTTTTGCCTTATACCACAAATTTCCTTTCTAATGTTGGCCGCCCTTGAAGCTGGGAAATATTTTTCAAGGAATAGTGTCTTTAAGTTATTCCATGTGGTGATGCTTCCGGAAGGTAAATAATATAGCCAATCCTTCGCTGAATCTTTCAAAGAAAATGGGAAGGCTCTCAACTTGATTTGTTCTTCAGTAACCCCTGTGGGTTTCATACTTGAACACACCACATGGAATTCCTTTAAGTGTTTGTGATGATCTTCGCCTGCAAGTCCATGAAAAGAAGGCAAAAGATGAATTAATCCAGACTTTAGTTCGAATTGCACATTGGCATCCAGAGCAGGGAAAGTAATGCATAATGGTTGTTGATCTAAATTTGGAGCTCCAAGCTCTTTTAAGGTCCGATTTTGAGCCATGGGTTCCTCTTCTAAATCAGAGTTGGCAGAATCGGTAGCCAGATCACTAAACTCTAATTTCCTCAAAACTTGTTTCCTCCATCTGCGTACAGTTCTTTCAATTTCTGGATTGTATGGCAAGACTTCTTTGTTAGCAGATCGAGTTATAGGCATAAACCGTTAAAGATAGTGTAGCAATTATGTAAAAGTAACGAAAGAAAAGAAAATTATATTTTTGATGATTTTTTTGGGACAAATTAACGAGAAAAACAAACAAACAAACAAACCAATAAATAAATAAACAAACACAAAATAAGCAAGAAAATCTCCCCGACAACGGCGCCAAAATTTGGTGAGCTGTCGTAGGCTCCCAAATTAAAACCTTACAAACGTAGTAGCGGGAGTAAGGATCATCCCACGAGGAGTAACTAGTTTAACTTTTGTGCTCAAGGAAATAATGGGGGGTTTGGAATATATCGAGAATAAATATTAAATAAAAGAGAAATTAAATAAACGAGAAATTTAATCGAACGAATAAACAGTGAAAATAATATATCGAAAACACTTATAATAAGAAACCTTGGTCAGTAAAGATCCACCACCGGAGTTTAACACTGATCATTGATTTATAAAGTAATTAATATGCAGTTGAATATTTGTCGTGAAATTATTTCATTTCCGTTTTCCCTTAGTTGTAGGTAACTAAAGCACACGCGGTTTAATTACCCCTAACTACTAAATAACCTAAGACAAGTGCTATAGATTTAATTTAATAGCAGCAATAGGAACTAGGAAAACCGACAAACTAAATAACACAAGCACAAGCGGTTGCATTTAATTTAGGAAAATATTCTACCCGAGTCCAATTATCACTAAGCCGTCAATAATTAACCCAGTTGCTACTGAATATTAGAGTAATTTGTAGCACAACATTATCTAATATAACAAATAATTATATCAAATAAATAACTAGTAGGTCTCCCTAGCAATTAAATGACACAATTATTTCAAATAACTTAGAAGAATATTTAATACTCAAATGCATAAAAAATATATAATAAAAATAAATAAATAACCTTACAGCGTAATGAACTCCGGGGCTTCAATTCACTAAACCAAACAAGAAATTAGCCGCGAATGGACATTAATAACAACCTTAAAGAATATTCGAGAGGGGAAGAATGAACGTTTTACAATAGGAAACTCATACTATTTATAGAATTCTAAAAATAGATTCAATGGACCTCAACCATTCAATTTCCCTATTTTTTAGGCTCACGTCCGAAGGCCTCCGCTGCTATCGCATACATCATTCCAAAAAGGCTAAACCCCAACCCTAAGGGCCGCCCACACCCCGGCCCGACAGAGCATTTGGGAGGATGTAAATCATGGTGACTCAACTGAACATGAACCATAGAGGCTAGACCGGTGCTCACTGCGCACAAGAAGCCCCCCTCACTTTGAGAGGTTGCTCCCACACTGCCGCTGGTGAGACTCGATCCCTGGTCATCATTCCAAAGTTTCACCTCTATGACCAATTGAGCTACCCATGCGGGCGCTGCTATCGCATACATGGTTGACGACCTGCACGTTTTTGGCGAAATGAACTGAATGATTCATTTGCATGCATCTCTGCACATATTAAATATATGATTTGTATTGAATGATGACCAAACAACCTAATATTATAATATATATATATATATATATATATATATATATTATATGCTAGTATAGAACGTACTATTTATATTCTATATATATTGTAGATATATATTATATTTTGTATGTAGTAGTACGTAGTAAATATGTATATTAGTATGTATTTATATATTATATATTATATATAGTTAGTACTATATTTAGCTCATTATTGTTAAACTCTAAAAATAACTAATTGTTAAATAATATTAAATAATGAATGCAAAATTATTATAAAGATGTACTTAAAATATGAGCGTAAAATATGCCCATCAATTACTAAAAGGAGAAGTTGTTAATTTGAAAGGTAAGGCATGTATAACATCATTTAAAATTTAATTAAGGGTGTGTTTGGTTCACACAAAGAAATCATAATCGAATTGGGTATCAAATACTTGATAATAGTAATGAGTTTTGGTGAAAATATTTAACATGTTTGGTAGTAGGGTGGAATGAGAATGGTTACTAATAGTAGTGGTTGAAAATGAAGAAGGGAATGAAACCCTTATTGTATTTGGATATGGATTTTTCAATTGATGGGGTATTCGAAACCCATAGTAGTGTTCTAAAAACCTATCAATCAAACAACAACAATCACTTTCATACCCATTCTTATGGGCAAAATCCACCAACCAAACACACCATAAAATTACAAATTATTGAACACTTCATGATAAACAAAATTTGAAATTGAGGTACAATTCGTTCCACCTTCATTGCAAATCAAAATCTTTAAGCCACTCTTGAAGCAAGCAACATATAATTGATCATGTACAAACACTGATTTTTTGAGCAATGCAACATGAGATAGCGTTTAATTTGGCCTTAACTTTTCTTAATAGTCATTGTATACGATAACATAAGCAGAAATTGCTTTCTCTTTAACTAATTATAAAATAATCAAACAAATTAACAATAGGCTATAGTTGTGCAATGTACGAATAAAAGTTTATAAGTATTGTTATAATGCTATGATATTAAGCAAAATAAATTTTATTAAATACAATGTAATATTTAATATTTTTAAATTTTTTTTAATAGAAGATAAAGAAGATGTCATCATCCATATTGATCAATGTACATGATGAAATAGATGCAAATACAGAATAAAATTACAATATACATATTGTAACTACTAAAATTCACTATTATCTGTGATTCTAATTATTATCATCAGTATAAATATAATAATATAATTATTTAATTATAGTATTAGTATTCATATATGAAAGAAAATAAAGCGTCAATGGCACCATAAACAAACACCAGTGATGCTCTGCCCCTCTCTCTAGAAACTACTTCTGGACTTAGATTTCCAACATCGTTCTTAACTCCAGATCTGTAAATTGCAGTAATTTAAGGATGTTCTTCCAAGAATCGGTAGTTTCAAAGCACAACTGGTGTTCGTCAGAGCTAGATCTGTGTTTCCTATGTTAGATTGTTACTATTTTTTTTTTGTTCTAACCGTGATTTTGTGGAACACAGATGTCGCCGGCGTATGTACTGAGAAGAGCTCTCAGTCATTTTACCAAATCCAGTTGAGTCTACAACCATTTTTGACGTTAATCAGTTGTTTGAACATGTTAACCAATTTAATTCTTAAAATTTGGAGTTTTTTTTAGAAGAAATCTTCTACTAATTCCTGTCTTAGTTATATGTGTATGTTCTATTTAGTAAGATTTTAACATGCATATATGTATGCTGCATTTTTAAGATCCTTAAATATTACTTTAAAGAACTTAATTGCATTAGATAACCCGAATTTCAGTATAAACCATCCCAAATATCTTAGGTAGGTAATGATTTCAAGTACACTTTTTACAAATGTTTGACTGCTCTATGAATTTTATTTGCTTATGTTATGCTTTCTGTCAGATTGTATCCTGCATGTGTATATTACAGACCCTCCACTTGAACCGCATAAAAGCTGTGATAGATTAGTTTCATAGCTAGGAATTAGTAACTTAAAGTGTAGGTTGTACTCATTTCTTGGAATTTTAAGAGTTGGGATGGGAAATTGCAAACATGTTTATTACTTATGTTGCGTATTCATTCTTCTGTTGCCTATTCATTGTGTAGCTTAATACATATTTACATCTCTAGTGTTCAAATAAAGTATGATACCTCTCTTTAAGCAATTGTTTTTTGAATTTTTTAAATATATACTTACGAAACCAGATGCAAGTTTAAGTGTTATATTAACACACTTATTCCATATAGCATGCTCTCCCTTCAGTTTTTATTGAAAATTAAATTGTGAAGTTCTATAATCATTGAAGCTTTACAAAGTATGTACTATTCCATTCTTAGAAAAAAAGGATAGATAGATCAGGAGAGTAAGTTCTTTATTTATACTCGATGCAGTTTAAGTAAAGATAACACTTACAATCCTATTTACATTAATTTCTCATGTGGACAGACTATTGCATATGTGAACTTCGCTGGAATCTAACTATAAAATGAGGAATACATTACATCTTTCAACAAAACATATATAGATATATTTATTTAGATTTTGATACCATGTTTGATTTTCATTTTTCCAGAATTCTATTAATTTTCAAAAGAGAGTGAAAGAATGCAGAGCTTTACCAAATCTACAGCCCCATTTTGCCACAGCTACCATTTGTCATAACTCAGCTCCTTGTAAAATGGTCATCTTTGGAGTTGTTCTCAATTCTAAACCTCAACACACCTTAATCTGCTTTCAAACATCTTCTTCCTCTTCTTGGATGCTTTCCAAATCTTCTTTGAAAGCTCTAGAAACGTCGGACCAATCTTCTCCAGCAGCGCTTTCCCAAATGTTCTTTGAAAGCTCAAGAACTCCCCTGCAGCCTCACGTTATGTAAGTGTAAAATTAAAATTATACTATTGGCTATTTTAATTGGTTTTACTAGTTGTAAAAATTAAATCAATGTATTTTTTCTTAATTAGTTACGGACCATGTGAGTATGAAATAATTGGTCAAAATGATTTGCATGTTGTGTATCATTAATCGGTGAAGAAGCTTTCAAATGGACAAGAATGAGTGGTGGTGATTTATTCGAACAAGTGGCAGCTAAAGAAAAGGCTAAGGCTAAGGATCTAAACTAAAGGTTCAAGAAAGGCTATAAATACACATGGTTCGAAGGAAGCAGCTGCCAACTTTGCGAATTACACACTGCCAAGAGCTCTCTTGATTTTACAAAGCTATTTATATTTTGAATGTATTCTCTAATTTAATTCGTTAGAATATTTATTGTACTGCATGATCAGTACGTGGTACTGCTGAAGCATCGTGTGAAGATTGTTCGGGTTTTCGTGTGTCAATCCTAGATAGGTGTTAGAAAGAGTGGTAGTGGTAAAGGCTGGAGGCCGTATTCAATTACCTCTTGTAATACTCCTTTGGTGAACATCTATAGTGGATTGGGCAGACGTGGGTTGCCCCGCAGACGTAGGAGAAGGAGCTCCGAACTGCGTAACAATTTCCTGGTGTTTTTATTTTTATTTATGCTTTCTGCAGTTATTAATTCTACTTACTTAAACAAGTTTAATTAATCAACTAAATTGGTGCTTAATTCAATTAACGTATAAAAACACATATCTTTTCTTTTTCAAGTATCACGGAACAATTTAAATTGGTATCAGAGCCTGTAGACTTAATTTGTTAGTCTATCGATCTGGCGAATCCGTGCATCTTGAATTTATCTCTTCAGCGGCTCTTTCTATTCTTTTGTTTATTGCTTATCTGTTTGATCTCACGGGGTACTGAGTTGTGCAGAATGGATCGAACTAAAATCCTTCCTCAATTGACCGGCGACAACTACGCATATTGGAAGGCTCGCACCCGTACACATTTAAAAGCTCAGGGTGAAGCTGTATGGTGATCTGTGGTGTCAGGATGGACACATCCCATTAAACCCAGCTCCAGCGCTGATGGAACAGAAGTCACTAAACCAGAAACTGAGTGGACTCAAACCGAAATTACCAATGCAGGAAACAACGATAAAGCGTTAGACACAATTTATTCTCTTATGCATGAAAGTCAATTTTCAATTGTTACAGGTATTCCTTCAGCTAAAGGTGTTTGGGAGGCCCTTGAGTCCACATACGAAGGAACGACTTCGGTAAAACAGTCCAAGCTGCAACTGGTCCAGTTAGAATTTGAAGAACAGCGCATGAATGAGGATGAAACAGTCACCGACTTTCACACACGCGTACAGGAACTAGCAAATCGTGCTATGGTCCTTGGTGAACCTTTCTCACATGAAAAACTTGTTAAAAAGAAACTGAGATCTTTACCGTCCAGGTTCCGAATGAAAGTCACAGCCATCCAAGAGCATGATGGTTGGGAGAAAAAGACTGTTACTCAGCTAATGGGAAACCTTAAAACTTATGAAATGGAAATTTTAACTGATCATACGAAAAAACAAAAAAAATATTGCATTTGCTGCTGAAGAAAATAATGTAGTATCCGATACAGATGAATCTAGTAGTGATACAGTTGCCTTCTTAACTAAACAGTTTTCCAAAATTTTGAAACGGGTATCCAAAAACACGCGTGACAGAAGTTCACAGAAGGGAGCAGCATCATTCAGAACTGCACCTAAGACAGGGACGTCAAATGCCAAACAGTCTGTCTCACGTCCTGGACAATTCAAAGAAAAGTCCAACAACAAAGGCATCAAGTGCTACGAATGTGAGGGATTTGGGCATGTACAAGCTGAATGTGCCACCTATCTTCGACGCAAAAAGTCTATGTCAGCCATTACCTGGAGCAATGATGAGCCTGACAATGAACCAACCGGGTCTGATATAGAAGAAATCTCGGGGAATTTTGTTGCATTTACGGCACTATTTACTGACAGTTCAGAACCTGTTGAAGATTCAAAAGGTGGTGACTACGTCTCTGCTGAAGATATGGAACAAAATGCGTTATCCTTTGAAGCTGAATTTAATAAGTTGTATCCCAAATGGGAAGCATTAAGAAAAATGAACTGCAAACTAGCTAGTGAAATAGAGATTGTAACAAATGCGAATAAAGTGTATCAAAATCAAGTAGCTGATAGGAATGATTTGCTTAAAGAAGCAGCAGGTCGAGAGGAAAAACTACATCACGAAGTACAAACTGGAAAGGTACTTCTTAAAGAAGCAGCAACCCGAGAAGCAAAACTCCAACAAGAAGTTCAGAATTTAAAACAAGAGCTCAGCACCTACAAACGACAAATCCAAATGATGGATACCACTTCAACACTCGATAAGATTCTTGATTCCGGCAGGAAAACCTCTGCAAAATATGGCTTGGGCTTCACTGGCAATAACTCCAAAGATAAGACTGTATTTGTCAAAGCATCTGAAACTGTTCCAGACGACATTCCTGAATGCAGCACTGTGAAACGGTCGTATGGTAAAGTAAACGTTCAAAAGATAAGATATAAGCTATATAATCCTGTTTGCCACTATTGCAGGTTACGTGGACATACCAGACCTGAATGTTACTACTTCTACAAAGATCAAAGGATTGAGAAGTTCAGGCACAAGAACATTCAACCGTTCACAAAACAGATTTGGGTCAAAAAGGCTGATTATGTATCTTTTGTTTCATTTCATACTAAAAGTGCAGGACGAGAAGAAAAATGGTATTTTGACAGCGGGTGTTCCCGACACATGATAGGGAATGCAAAATTCCTGAACAACGTCAACACTAGTAATGGTGAAGTCACTTTTGGTGACGGTGTCAAAGGTCAAGTAACTGGCGTAGGCACTTTAAATGTAGCCGGTCTGCCAAAATTGGACAAAGTGCTACTTGTTCGAGGACTTCACGCTAATCTTATTAGCATAAGTCAATTGTGCGACCAAAATTGGAATGTGTGCTTCACAAAAAACAGCTGCAGTGTGATGGATAACACAAATCAATGTGTCATGGAAGGTAAACGATCAACTGATAATTGCTATATTCTAACCGATAATGTGCTATGTTGCAGGTCCAGTATGAATGAAGCTGAGCTATGGCATCAAAAAATGGGGCATCTCAGTTATAGACTACTCGATAAACTTGTAAAAATCGAAAGTGTTCGTGGGCTACCAAAGATGAAAATAGAGTCAACTATATGCGGTGCCTGCCAAGCTGGGAAACAAACCAGATCAGCGCATCCAGCTCAACACACCATAAACACAAGTCGGTGTCTAGAATTGATACACATGGACCTCGTTGGACCAACTCAGACAGAAAGTGTTGGAGGTAAGAAATATATACTAGTATGTGTAGATGACTTTTCTCGTTTTTCTTGGGTTATGTTTCTCAGGGAAAAGTCCGAGGCACTTGAGGCATTCAAAACCCTGGGATTAAAAATTCAAAAAGAAAGAAATGAATCCATCAGCAGAATCCGAAGCGATCACGGCAGAGAATTCGAGAACAAAGTCTTTGATGACTTCTGTAACAAATCAGGGATTACACATGAATATTCAGCACCAAAAACTCCACAACAAAACGGAGTTGTGGAAAGGAAAAATCGCACTATCCAGGAGATGGGTAGAGTTTTGCTCAACGCCAAAGGATTACCTCAAAAATTTTGGGCAGAAGCTGTAAACACTGCATGTCACATCATCAACAGAGTTTATCTACGTCCGGGTACAACGCAAACTCCGTACGAGCTCTGGAAAGGTAGGAAACCAAACATTACTTATTTTCATATTTTCGGCTCACGTTGTTTTATTTTGAAAGATAGGAATCCCACTTCTAAATTTGAACCAAAAAGCGACGAAGGAGTGTTTCTCGGATATTCCACCAACAGCAGAGCCTATCAGGTATATAATAAAGTGACCAAAACCATAATGGAGTCCACAAATGTCGTCATTGATGATCAACCCAGTGAAATTACCGAAGTTATCCAGTCTGATCCAGTGACAGAACCTGCAGCTGAACGACCTAAAACTCCTACCACTAATACTCCAGAACCAAACCATGAGTCACCCTCTTCATCACCCATATGCAATCAATCTGAATATGAACCCGAGACAAAATCAGAAAATGAGCATGAAGATATTGACATTCCAACTCGTATCCAGAAAAATCATCCAATTCAAAATGTAATTGGAGATCCAAGTTCAGGCGTGAAAACTAGAGGCAAACCAAAACGTGACTATCTTGAACTAGCAGGATACTCGTGCTATACATCACAGTTTGAACGAAAGAACATCAAAGAAGCTCTAACTGACGAGCACTGGATCAAGGCCATGCAAGATGAATTGGGGCAATTCGAAAGGAACAAGGTATGGACTCTAATCCCTAAACCGAATAACGTAAATGTTGTAGGTACAAAGTGGATTTTCCGGAACAAAACAGATGCAATCGGAAATATTGCACGAAATAAAGCAAGGTTAGTTGCTCAAGGGTACTCCCAAATTGAGGGAATCGACTACGACGAAACGTTTGCTCCAGTGGCTCGCCTGGAATCCATCCGGCTACTACTCTCCATTGCTTGCGCACTAAAGATCAAGCTCTTTCAGATGGATGTTAAAACAGCCTTCCTAAATGGCTATCTCACAGAGGATATATATGTAGCACAACCAAAAGGATTTGAGGATCCACAACATCCAGAATATGTATACAAGCTTCAAAAAGCTCTATACGGACTAAAACAAGCTCCACGAGCCTGGTACGAAAGACTTGCCCAATATTTACTTCAGAACAACTACAAACGAGGTGGTTCGGATAAAACCTTGTTCATAAAACGATCAGGTAAACACATAACTATTGCACAAGTTTACGTTGATGACATTGTGTTTGGGTCCACACAGACAGGTGAAACTGACAAACTGGTCAAAGTAATGAAACAAGAGTTCGAAATGAGTATGATCGGAGAGTTAACTTATTTTCTAGGATTACAGGTACATCAGTCAGAAGAAGGAATATTTATTTCTCAAACGAAGTATGCGAAAAATCTCATATCCAAATTCGGTCTTGAATCTGCAAAAGATGCCCGAACACCCATCTCTACAACTACAAAGTTATCTAAAGACAATCAAGGAACGTCTGTTGACTCCACC